ACACACACACACATACACACACACACATATATAAATGCATTTTTGAACTTAAATCTATGTACATTTTGTACGTTTCTTGTCCTAGAACAAGCTTGTCATGGGCCGCACGTGGCCCAGGATGGCTTTGAGTGTGGCTCAATACAAATTCATAAAGTTTCTTAAAACATTATGAGATTCTTTTGCATTTTTTTAAAGCTCATCAGCTATTGTTACTATTTGTGTATTTTATGTGTAGCCCAAAACAATTATTCTTCTTCCAGTGTGGCCCAGGAAAGCCAAAAGATTGGATACCCCTGCGAACCTTGAATTCAGTCATTTCTCGAAGGAATCCCAGTTCTTAGTAGAAAATGGTATTTAGCTATCACAGTCTAGATGATAGGGGTGCTTGTTGCTACTGGGTTGGTTATAATGTTTAGACCTATTCAATGTAGAGAGGTAGGAAACATTTATTTTTTGAGATACAAAATAGCATGAGTTCATACTGATGCTTCCACTTCAAAATCACAAGCATGGAGTTTTTACTTAACCTTATCTTTCTTAGCTATATCTCTTTCTCCAAAACGTAAAATTACATTCCCAACAAGGCTAACATAATTACTCAATATACAATGTACACACAAACAACCTCAGAATAGCAATATCAATTCTATTTTGTCTTTGGAATAATTTATTATTTTTGTTCTTTTTTTCAAAACCTTTTTATTTCCATAGGTTTTTGGGGAACAGGTGGTATTTGCTTACATGAGTAAGTTCTTTAGTGGTGATTTGTGAGATTTTGGTGCACCTATCACTTGAGCAGTATACAGTGAACCCAATTTGTGGTCTTTCATTCCTCACCCCCTTCCCATCCTTTCCCCCTGAGTCCCCAAATCCACTGTATCATTTTTATGCCTTCGCATCCTCATAGCTTAGCTCCCACTTATAAGTGAGAACATACGATGTTTGGTTTTCCATTCCTGAGTTACTTCACTTAGAATAATAGTCTCCAATCCAATCCAGGTTGCTGCAAATGCCTTTTTGTGGCTGAGTAGTATTTCATGGTGTGTGTATATATATATATATATATACACACACCATAGTTTCTTTATCCATTCATTGATTGATGGGCATTTGGGCTGGTTTCACATTTTTTGCAATTGCTATTGTGCTGCTATACACATGCGTGTGCAACTATCTTTTTCATATAATGACTTAGTTTCCTCTGGATAGATACCCAGTAGTGGGATTGCTGGATCAAATGGTTTTAGTTCTTTAAGGAATCTCCACACTGTTTTCCATAGCGATTGTACTAGTTTACATTCCCACCAGCAGTGTAGAAGTGTTCCCTGTTCACTGCATCCACACCAACATCTACTATTTTTTGATTTTTTGATTATGGCCATTCTTGTGGGGGTAAGGTGGTATTGCATTGTGGTTTTGATTTACATTTCCCTAATCATTAGTGATGTTGAGCATTTTTCATATGTTTGTTGGCTATTTGTATATCTTCTTTTAAGAATTGTCTATTTATGTCCTTGCCCACTTTTTGATGGGATTGTTTTTTGCTTGCTGATTTGAGTTCTTTGTAGATTCTAGATATAAGTCCTGCGTCAGATGTATAGGTTGTGAAGATTTTCTCCCACTCTGTGGATTGTCTGTTTATTCTGCTGACTGTTCCTTTAGTCGTGCAAAAGCTCTTTAGTTTAATTAAGTCCCACCTATTTATCGTTGTATTTGTTACATTTGCTTTTGGGTTCTTGGATATGAAATCTTTGCCTAGGCCAATGTCTAGAAGGGTTTTTCCGATGTTATCTTCTAGAATTTTTAAAGTTTCAGGTCTTAGATGTAAGTCCTTAATCCATCTTGAGTTGATTTTTGTATAAGGTGAGAGATGAGGATCCAGTTATTTCTTCTATATGTGGTTTGCCAGTTATCCCAGCATCATTTGTTGAATAGGGTGTCCTTTCCCCACTTTATGTTTTTGTTTGCTTTGTCAAAGATCAGTTGACTATAAGTATTTGGGTTTATTTCCGGGTTCCCTATTCTGTTCCATTGGTCTATGTGCCTATTTTTATACCAGTACCATGCTGTTTTGGCGATTATGGCCTTATAATATAGTTTGAAATCAGGCAATTTGATGCCTCCAGATTTGTTCTTTTTGCTTAGTCTTGCTTTGGCTAGGTGGGCTCTTTTTTGGTTTGATATGAATTTTAGGATTGTTTTTTCTAGTTCTGTGAAGAATGATGGTGGTATTTTGATGGGAATTGCATTGAATTTGTAGATTGCTTTTGGCAGTATGGTCATTTTGACAATATTGATTCTACCCATCCATGAGCATGGGATGTGTTTTCATTTGTTTGTGTCAGCTATGATTTCTTTCAGCAGTGTTCTGTAGTTTTCCTTGTAGAGGTCTTTCACCTTTTTGGTTAGGTATATTCGTCAGTATTTTATTTTATTTTTTGCATCTAACAATATCAATTCTAACAACAACAACAACATGATTACTAAAAATGGTTTAAATCTTTTTGGGAAAGAGATGGCAGAAATTTATTTATTTATTTTGGTACTTAGGGCATATCTCATGAGATATGTATAGTCAAGTTCATGTTTTAAAATTACTCAAAATAGTTCTTCTCCATGCAGCTATGCCATCCACTTAGATATATTTGATATCTACATATTTAGAGATTGCTTTTTTGGAAAAGATTTTGTTTTATAATTATGTCAAATAGTTACATGATTCCAAAGTCAAATATACAAGACAAGGTACACTTGTGGATCCACAGTTCCTACTCCTCCTCTGTGCTTCTGTTACTCTCAGCTAAGTAGGCACTTTTTAAAAAAGTTTTTGGTATATCCTTCAATTTTTAAAAATATAAGTAAATATGTATGTATATTAATGTCTTCCCTCTACCTTTTTTTAGATGTCCATTAGCAAATTACATTTTTAAAAAAATTGTTTTATTTTTTTGAGACAGGGTCTTGCTCTGTTGTGCAGGCTGGAGTGCAGTGGCGCAGTCTTGGCTCCCTGTAACCTCTGCCTCCTAAGCTCAAGTAATCCTCCCACCTCAGCCTCCTGAGTAGCTGAGACTACAGGCATGTGCCACCATGCCCAGCTAACTTTTTTTGTATTTTTAGTAGAGACAGGGTCTTGCCATGTCACCCAGGCTGGTGTCGAACTCCTGGACCCAAGTAATCCCCCCACCTTGGCCTTCCAAAGTGCTAAGATTACTGGCGTAAGCCACTGCACCCAGCCTGCCTTTTTTCACTTAACTGTTTATTCTGGTGTCCCCTTCATGGCATGTAGAGATAAGCCTCTCTCTTTTTCACAGGTATGTAATGCTCCCATTGTGTGGCTGTATTACCACTACTACACTATTTCAAGTAGTGCTGCAATGTCTTGTGTTCATGTTTTACAATATTTTTGCGAGTGTACTTTTGGAATCAATTCCTAGATCTGAGGGGGGTGTGTGTGTGTGTGTGTGTGTGTGTGTGTGTGTGTGTGAGAAAGAGAGAGAGAGAGAGGATACATATGTATGCAATGGTGTTAGATATTGCCAAATTCCTTTCCATAGAGGTTATAATACCTTGCGTTTCTATCAACAATGTATGAAAGTGCCTGTTTTCTTGGGCAATAGTATGGACAACAGATTATGTTGTCAAACTTCTAGATTTTATCAAAGTGACAGGTGAGCTATTGGTTTTTAGTGTAGTTTAAAAACAAGCATGGCAGAGAATCTTTTCATATATTAAATATTTGCTTTTCTTTTCTAGTGACCTATCTTTCTATATTTCTTGTTGTAGCATATGTTCAAATAAGAAAAGCTATGTGGCCAGGTGCGGTGGCTCACACCTGTAATCCCAACACTTCGGGAGGCCGAGGCGGGTGGATCGCCTGAGGTCAGGAGTTCAAAACCAGCGTGGCCAACCTGGTGAAACCCCGTCTCTACTAAAAAGACAAAAATAAGCTGGGCGTAGTGGCAGACACCTGTAATCCCAGCTACTCGGGAGGCTGAGGCAGGAGAATCACTTGAACCCAGGAGGCGGAGGTGGCAGGGAGCTGAGATCGCGCCATTGCACTCCAGCCTGGGTGACAGAGCAAGACTCTTGTCAAAAAAAAAAAAAAAAACAGCGATGTAAAAGATAAAATTTTCAAGTTCCGTTACATCTGAAAATGTCAATTATACCTGGATCATGATTGGAATGGGCATATAACTCTAGTCTGAAAATCATCTGCCCACTGAACTTTGAGCTTTCTGGCTTCTGAAGTCAGGTTGCTGATGAGAAGTCTAATGTGATCTGATTCTTTTACCTTTTCCCTCTTCTCTGAAACTTTTAGAAATTTCTCTTAAGGTTGGGGTTCTGATAATTTACAATGTTAAGCCTTGGTGTGAGATTATTTCATTTCTTGTGCCACGAAATTAGTATGCTCTTCCAATGTGAAGATTCATCTTTTAGCTCTGCGCAATTGCATTCCCTCCTTTCCTTCCTTTCCCTCCCT